GGATAAATAAACTTTTTACACGCTTTGGAAAATCTCAGAAGTTCGCGGTAGTCACTTTTCGGTAAGGAACTAAGGGACTCGGTTATTGTATCGAGCAGGGTTCGAAACGATCGCAAAGGCGGTATACTACGTATACGCGCCAAAATGGATTGTATCCGTGAAATCCTATATGGGGATCTTATCAATGCGTTTATATACAATAAATGAATATGCTTAAATACCATAAACTTTGTCAAAGATCCGGACTGAGTTTCCTCTGAAACAAGTAAGGATCCTTTCCCTCCAAATCTCATCTGAAGTAAAGGGGTCTTGTGGCCTAAGCCCGCGAGAGATCTTATACACGAATAAACAAACAAAAACACCGCAATCAAAAGTATTTTCCTTGCCCTGAGAGCACTCCTCAGAGGTCCGCACTTGGAAAGTGCAGAACCTTTCCTGCTCGTGGTGAGAAAGAGCGCATTGGTCCAGGAACCGTATAAATGTCCTACAGGATTTCACCTCGCCTTTTCCACGGCTGGTGAAGTGGGTACAGGTTTGGTTTGCCGTGTCAACATACAGCAGGGACCAGTGATTTTCATGAAAGATGGGAAAGAAATAGTGCAAAACGTCGGAGGTTCTGGTTCTTTTCATCCAGTTCACAACTCTGTTTTTGTAGCCCTCATTCGTGAGTGCAGTGAATAAATTACTCTCAACGCGGACAGATTTTGCTGTACTCTGACAAACTAACTTAACAAAATGATTTACAACATCACAATTTAACCAGCTTTGGCCAATGAGAGTGGTTTGCCCGGGAATTTGGGGCTGCTTTGGGTTACTTGTCACACGCACGTAAGGGCTATTTGCCTGGACTGAGAAAGGAGAGCCATCTTGGACTCGGTACCTCTTGACCTGACTTTTTGAGCGGTGTCCTCTCTGTTTTCGACTTTTCGTAACCTTGGCTTCCATCTCGAAGCTGTAACACAATGCTGTATGTCCCAGTTCGGGCGCCACTTTGTAACGAGGCAAATCCCCTTTCACTGCGAAGCAGGTCCAGGACATCAGAGGCACCTACGTCCTTCTGGTATAAGATAAGCCAACGTTACTGGAGGTGCCGGAATGAGCTCGCCGGGATCCTGGATTCGGGCGCCAATAAAAAAAATGATTAGGTTGAATGAGGGGAAGAATGATCAATAAATCTCGTGTCTCAAATTTCTTGGTTTATTTACAAAAAGAATGTCCTTTCATTAGCTAAATTTGTGAGGACCCTACACTCAACAAAATATAAAAAGGAAGCCGAAATGCTACTCAGAGCGTGCACTTCTAGGTTTTCCCGAGATAAATAAATAATGACAAAAGTAAAAATTTTTTGTTAAAATAACCGAAATGCTACTCACAGCGTGCACTTCAAGGTCTCACAGCCAGAACTCGCCAGGAACAGGAGATGATAACAGGTAAGGAGAAGCAGAGCTGGGCGAAATGCAACTCAGAGCGTGCACTTCAAGCGCCAGGAGGAAGATAACAGAGGAAAAGTGAGAGGATAGGAAACAGGACGAAATGCTACTCAGAGCGTGCACTTACGAGTCCCAAAAGTTAGTTACAGGTCACTTCCTCCTCGGAAATGAGGAAATTCCGAGATAATTTGCGGACAAAAAATTTTTTATTTTAAATTGGCCCAGGATTGTCAAAACAACAAAAGTAAAGTGATAAACAAAACATAAAACGATTCAGTTTGATAAAATAAATGATTCAATTGATAAAGAGATAAAAATGTACGATTTTGTTGAGAACAAAACTATGCAAGTGTGCTCAACTTGATTGATTTATGGGAATGAGCATATGTACATAATAATGAAATTTCCCGCAAACAGGGGAAAATACGATTTTAGAAATTTGGTCAGAGCATAAATTTAAAAGAAAATTTGATTGGATTGATTTCCTCTTCTCTTTTTTAGAGATAAAAGTAAAACGCACTAAATACATAGTTACACAGCTTCAGTAATGATAGGTTAATGAACACATGTAAAGAAGGGGTCCTTGAAGGAACTATACACGCCGGCCAGGTTGGCCTAGTGGTCAGCGCGTCTGACTCTAGGTCAATAGGTCCCGGGTTCGAATCCCGGTGGTGGCGTCTAATTTTCACGGAATTGACGAGTAGATCTGCTGAAACAGATTCTCCTCGGCCCTAATCCCTGAAAATTAGAAAAGCCTGGAGCATGGAGCCTGATGTCTACGGACACTAAACAATGTCTAAAGTTGGCTGAAGGTGCTATAGACACGAAGCCATTAAACCAGCAGAAAAAAAAAAAAAAAAAAAAAAAAAAAAAAAAAAAACTAAAACTAAAACTAAAAAATAAAAACTATACACAGAAGATCTGATCGAGAAGGCGGAGAGATCTTTCTCTCAGACAAGTTTGTATTCTTTTCCGCCATAATTCGCTAGGTAAGAATAAGCGTTCGTCGGGCTTGAGCCCCCGCGCGATTTTGAAAATGTACATACAAACATACAGTCCGCAATCAAAATCATCGCTCTGTTGGCAGCTTTCGGAAGTCTTCACTTGGAATTTACAGAATTTCTCCGGCTCCTTATGTGTTATCGCACACTGGTCTAAGAACCTTAGAAATGTTCTACAAAATTTAATTTCACCACTCCCTTTGCTTGTGAAGTGAATGTAAATTTGTTCTACAGTATCTACATATAATAAAGACCAATGGTTTTTATAACAAATAGGAAAAAAATACTGCAGCATTTTGGATGTGCGTACTGTCTTCATCCAGTTCACAACCCTATTCTGATATCCTTCAGTGGTAAGCACTGTAAACAGATTACTTTCCATCCGAACGCAACTTGCCGTGGAAGCGCTAACTAATTTTGTAAACTGATGGATAATGTCACAGTTCACCCAGGTTTGTGACTTTAACGTGTCTGCACCTGAAATTAGAGGTAACTTCTGGTTTGTAGTCACCCGTGCATACGGGCTATTAGCTTAACACGAGATAACAGAATCTGACTGCAGTCTATAACGTTTGATTTGGCTTTTGGAGCGGTGATTCCTGCGTTTATGACCTTTTCCGACCTTTGCTTCCATTCTGTTCTTGGACTGTAACCGATTAACCACGAACCCTACAGTTAAAAAAGCGTTTTTGAAAATCTCTCGCTACTGCTGAGAGAAAGGCGAGCAAAGCAGAAGCAAAATGAAACACGTAAAATGAAATAGATGAAAAGATAAAAGGAAAAAAAAATGTTGCGCACTAAAAGGAATTAGTTTATACATTTCTTTACATCCTTAATATATGCACAAGACCAATTTCACTGGTCATTTAAGTCTTTAAGTTGCAAAACGTTCGAGGACACTATTTTTGCCACAATATAGGGGCCAATAAACTTGGGCTCCATTTTTGGACCGGGTTTTCTAGGTCTCGCGAATACCGGGTTCTTTCGCCAAACTTGATCCCCCACGTTGAATTTCACCACTGAGCGACACTTGTTGTAACCGCGGCTCTGTTTCTCGAAAGCAGTCTTCATACGTTCGCGCACAATTTTGAAAATTTCTTCCAAATTCTTCAGCGCTGAGGGCCGCCTAGTAAGATTCCCCATGTTTTCGGCTGGTGTCCGCAGTTCACGGCCAAAGTTCAAGTATGCTGGGCTCAAACCCATCGATTCGTGTTTGGCGGTGTTCATAGAGAATAAGAAAGCATTTAGATTTTTATCCCAAGGTACTTCTTGATTAGAGAACTGACAAATCAGAGTTTTGAGTACACGATTTGTGCGCTCCACCCAGTTACTTTGCGGCGAGTACAAGGGTGTAAAATGATGCTGCACTCCGAATTTCCTGAATGCTTGCCTGAATGTTTTTGTAAAAAAAATAACAAACCTTTTAGGTTCATTGTTTATTTCTGAGTGTGGGCTTTCTGGAAGGTCTTGAACTTCAGTCATGACAGCTTCAAAATATTCTTCTGTACTTGGCTCGTCGAAAAAGTCATAAGCTTCAACATCATCCTCCCCCTCAGAGTCCGCTAAAGCAATTTCAGGCATGTTTTCGCATGTATCACTGCAGTTGATGCACAATGCTGAGCATTTAAGCCCACCTTTCCTGCAACCGCACGCGCCTGGACAACTCGTTTTGCACTTGCAGGATTATCAGAAATACACACCATATATGAACACCAGACTGCTTGATACAGTAAACCAGAATGCTTTTTCTATTTGGGATTAGTGATGCGAAAATTTTAATCTTCCTTCAATTTAGGTTCCTTTTTCCCCCCTTTTCTTTCCTTCCCTTTTCTTTTCTTTCCTTTCCCTTCCTTTTCTTTTTTTTTCGTCTGACTTCTAGCTTCATATTCTGGATACTGTGTTAGAGTCGGAGATCAACGCCGGCCGCGATGTCTATGAACGGGAACCAGGCCCATCCACCTGTCCGTCACCAAAAGTTAGAACTTCGTTGCACCGAGCTGCCAAACGCCCACGATTGGACTAACTCACTTACTTATCAAACATGTCCTCATTTTGAAAATATTTTTGATTTTGTCCAAATCCGTAATCAGTTATTTATGTAATGGGATTAATGAAATAATATATTGAAATAACTGCTTGTTTAATATGACTTACACGTAAAGGGTTGCAGGGATGCAGGGTGTTAAGTATCTAATGGCGCAAGATCGATATCTCCCGCTGCCTTCTTCGCGCTCCCATTCTCGCGAATTTTACGTTAAGTGTACATATGTTTTACCAATCTCTTGCAAATTAGTGGCAACAACAGCAAGACGATTGCAATAAACGAGCAAGACGTCGTTTTACAACAGCAGGCATAGAGATATCAAAAACGTCAAAGTCCGACTGAAACTATCTGAACAAGATCGCAAATTTTCGGCTATCCAAATTATAAATGCTCTACCTTGGAACATCAAAAGAAAACTCCGCGACGGTGTTACACAAAAATTTTTCAATTTACTTCGAGATCTACTTTTAAGGAAGGCATTTTATAATTTGAACGAATTTCTGAATTCAGCTGTTGAGTAACGTTCTACTAACCACCACCTAATGTAACAGTTGTAATTTATATTTTTAATTATTGTATAGTGTTTTTTGAACTGTGCCATAGCCCTAATAATGGGGCTCTCATGTACGAAAGTTATAATTAATAAATAAATTACAGACAGCCACGGTACAGAGTTTCCGTCATATTCTGCCGGTTTGAAGAATTGACGATCGATAGTTTGCTCAAAGGCGTTGCATCGTGAAAGGCACGATAAGTGATTAAGTTGACAAGTCTACAAAGTAATTTTGTTTTTAATTTTCTAGGAATTACTCGGCAAAATGTCTATGTTATATTATTCTTTCGACGAAATAATTAAGGATTGGTTTTGAGATACTGCATCGGAGTTGAGTGTTTCCGCTGTCTCGCCGATGAAACGCCACGTATCTGCGTTAGTGCGTTTGAAGTGTGGACCGGATCGTCCGGGATGAACGCAAAAGGAAGCACTCGGCTGGAAATAGTTGTGCTTTAGTGCTCTTACAATGCCCAAATCTCTAGAAATTGAGCACATCGTTACCCAAACATTGGTATGTCTGGTTCCGGATCCACCACTCCTGGGGCGCAAAGATAAGGCCCGCACATCTGTATCCCGGGGCTTGTTTCCTCCTCAAGTTGCTGCAAACAAACGAGAAAAAATGGAGATGTTGCATATGTGAGGAATTTGCGATTTGACTCTTGATTCTTATGTGAAAGTTCGCGAGAAACACGATGGTCCCACTGCTTTTCTCTGAAATCATCTCCCAAGCTCATAAAAAGCTCTCAAAGTGAGGCCAAAATGGAGGGGATATCCCACGCTATCCTGAGAGTCCACCTCTACATCAAGACGAACTCTTTATGCAAAGATAGGGAGCAAATACATTAGCAGGGTTGCCGTGTTTTCAGTCTTGGAGTCCCCAAATAAAGTGGCATCCCTGTTAATGTATTTGCTCCCTATCTTTGTATGGAGAGTTTGACTTGATGAAGAGGCTGGACTCTCAGGATAGCTTCGGATACCCCATCCATTTTGGCCTCAACTTGAGAGCTTTTTCTGAGCTTGGGAGTGGATTTCAGAGAAAACCAGTGGGACCATCGTATTTCTTGCGACGTTTTACTTGAGAATCAACAGTCATATCGCAAATTCCTCACACATGCAACATCCCCATCATCGTTCCCATCATCGTTCCCATCATCGTTTCCATCATATTAGTTTAAACAAGGTTTGGTCAAAGGGGACTTCTCATCAGGGGCTTCTTTCGCATTGGGAGGGTGTGGACGGATCCGTAATCCCGAAATGCAACCGGACTTTCACCGATATGACACTGATAATAATTTCTCTCGTTGAAAATTTGAACAAAATAGGTTAGCTGACAAATGCGTCACCTTAGGAAACTGTTCACAGAATTTAGTTACTTCATTGCTAAGGGGTGCCTTGCGGATTTTAGCGTTAGATAATTTCAGTAAAATAGGGTAAAAATTACTCCTGTATAGCTGAGAACTCGTCAGCATTAATTCCCGAGGTACTCTAAATATTCGTATAGCTTGTCATTAAAAACCTTTTCTCCACTTCTATTTCTCAAATTAGCAGGTACTTTTGAGGGAAAATGATATCTCCGCCGCAGATAACTCTCTGAAAGGTTACTGCTCACGACACTTCTGGTGTTGTATAAGCGCGCTTTGTCAAGAGACTATTGGCAGAGATAGAATAAGATACACAGTGTTTGATCGATTTGGCTTTTGTCCGCGCAGGATGTGTGAAGATTTCATTTTTTATGATGTGTGGCCTACATTCATTGAATATTCGCAACTTTAAAATGCAGCAAATATCCTCGCGAATAATGTTTGGGCCGAAAAGAGTAACCTAACAAGGATCTCAAATTTTTTCGTTTTTGTCACATTTGAACGTTTTTTGGGCGATCAAGGATCGTTTGAATTAAAATTTGTATGATGTTATACACCTGCGATAGTCGTCTCTAGTCAACTCGTCCAACTTATAATGTAACAGTCGGGAACAACTCTGATTGGATACTTCGCGTGGGAAGTTTAGCTATCCTTTTTGGCCCTGATGACTCCATGATACGATCTTTGGAGGCCCCCTAAAGCATGTAACGCACTTTTCCGGCATTTTTGCTCCCACCTTACAGTATTAGGGAATTTTACGTGAACATCTATTTACATAACTTAAGTCTAACTGGTGGATCAAGGATCCTAGTAATTACTAAATTAATGAGATGAAGATAGAATACAGATAATAAAGATAAAAAAAAAAAAAAAAAAAAAAAAAAAA